TTGTAGTGAAGGAGAACACAGGTGGAGTAACCGAATTGTCTGTAACGAAAATTACAGAGTTACTCAGTAAAATCGAAAAACCATATCGTAAATCGTTCATTTGCAAAATATCAGTCAATCATATCGAACTGGACTATTCCTGTTGCAAAACATCAATCCATTGTCACTATTCATGCGTTTCATACAAATTCCATTGTTTTCTAACTCTTATTTTCTTGATCTGCTCCCCATATTATGCTACCAGACATTACGTTGACACTCACGTCATATACTACTTATAAGTAGCTCACACCACAGATTACTAATCTAGTAGTGTGTAGCGTTTACTAGTTCCCGCTGCTGGAACACGGCGGCAGGCACACTCTCGATAAATTGCGACGCCAACAACTGTGCCCCCGACTCCCCATCCATACTCGACAGCGTACGGCGCAGCAACATCGTGAGCTCCACAGGCAGCACCAATGGGTCACCATCAGCCGACAGCCTCGCCAACCGGAACCTCTGCGGCGCCTCCTCCTTGTCCACCGGGCCTTCGGACTCCGTCATCAGCCGCCCGGTGACCGTCTCCCACGCCGTCTTCCCGGCAGCAGCGTCCAGGCTGTCGTATACCGCCTCCACCTCACCTCCACGCAGGGTCGTCAGAGCCGCCAACTCCGCCCCGGGCCCCTTCACACCCCCCAGCCTCACCGTGGCCTCAAACTCCTCCAGGAAGCTCCGCAAATCCCCGCCCTCAAACTCCTTCTGCCACGGGAGCTCCTTCCTCCGGGCAGGCAGCGACACCAAATGTAGTGAAGGAGAACACAGGTGGGGCAACCAAACTGTATTTAACGAAAATTACAGAGTTACTCAGTAAAACCGGAAAATCATATCGAACTGAACTGTTCCTGTTGCAAAACATCAATCCATTGTCAGTATTCATGCATTTCATACAAATTCCATTGTGTTCTAACTCTTCCTTTCTTGATCTTCCTCTATCTTCTGCTGCCAGACATTACGTTGACACTCACGTCATATACTACTTATAAGTAGCTCCACCACAATATGTATACTTGAATAAACACTGTTCACATGCTACTAAAAGGTTGTTCAATGAAATGATTTACTGTTGCTATATAAAACTTCAGTTTAATTAAAGGGAATAATTGAAAGGAACGTGGCTGATTGGTACAAGCCAATATCAAGAATAACGTTTCATGGGCTCAAACCGTTTGCTTCAGTGGCGCCAAGTGACAAACAATCGTAATAAAAGTTGGTCGGCGAGAAAATAGAGTTATTAGTAGGTGTAGAAAGAATTTGATTTTGACCGATTTGGTCTCATGTGCTATTATGGCTATAAGGGTGGATGTTACTTCTCGGCTACCCACACTGTGGAAGGGCTCTAGTTGTCAGAAGAGGCATCGTCCTCGTAACGACTTCCGAAGGAAGTCGGCTTTCATCATGAGATGTCATAATTCTTGTTAATGAAGACTATCTAACTCTCAGAGCAGAGCTTAATCGGTTTGAATTAGTTTTGTATTAGTGTTTATTTAAGCTAGTTAGTTTTCCATGGAATATGGTCGCCAATCACAATCCCAACCTTCCCTCTGTAGGTTTTGTCACTAGGTACGCTTGTAGATATTACAAGTTCACCATAGTCGAAAAACGCGAACAAGACAATTACCAGCGTCCAGGTAGGCTACCTTGAATCCCAAGCTGAAGACAGAAGGCTTTGTAAGCGTAGAAAGTATATTCTACAAACACCCAGCAATCACAATACAATCAAGCACACAACTCTCGTTTATTTATACATCATAGAAACGTCCTTGGGACAGTTACGAATATAGCACACTAAAATACACAGCAGCCAATCACAGCCATGGATTTTCCTGGTGGGAATTTAAATCTCCAGGTCAACCGATCAGCCCATGCTCGCAAACGTGAAATCCAAGATAAGGCATTTATCAAACGAGCTTCTGGGATCTAACATCCCCAACATCTTTATTCAGGCTTGGGATCGGCAGTAGCCTCGTAGGGAATCTATCAATGTATTTGTGATCGTGAAATGAGAATTTTCTAACTAGTGATATTATCATACATATAGATCTTATCAGCTGCATATGACCTATGATGATATTTGAAAATCATCGATTAAAATTGAAATTTTCATAGAAGTGAAAAGATTCAAAATTAATGTGGTATACAGTCTGGCAAAGATCCGAACAAAGTTCTGTGATTGTGCTTCAGTGGAAATCCTCGTTGGATTGGCTGTCATGTACTACACTATTTTATTCATATTTTCTGGCAGAGTTTTGGAGGTTTTGTGTTTTTACACATTTGAAATCATCAATCAATCATTGTTAGACACCACCATTAGAAACCTGGAAGCACTGGACGGCCGTTTCGTCCTGATATGGGATTCATCAGCAGTGCGCATCCACGACTCCTGCACCTCACAGGATTCGAACCCGGGACCTTCGGTATTGTGCGCGAACGCCTAACCATCGGACCACTGGGCCGGCATCCAACGAAACGGCCGTCCAGTGCTTCCAGGTTTCTAATGGTGGTCTAACAATGATTGATTGATGATTTCAAATATTTTATTTATGTTTTTAAAAATTATTCTCAAAAAATTTAAATGTTTTTGTCAACATATTCTCATTTATTTACTTTTGTTCAATTCGAATTTTGTTAAACTTATTTGGAACACTGTGTGTTTCATCAATTCACTTCGATAAAGCTGTTCTCACTTTAATGACACTTCAGTGAATGATTTCATGTTAAGCCGAAATTGTTCAATTTATATATATATACACAACTTTTAAATATGAACTAACAATTTGATTGGTGATTGAGATTCATGGCACAATTTTTAACTAATCATGAAAGTAAATATTCCTGACTGTGAACTAACTGACTGAGTGCTTGTGTGCAAGTGTGTGCATAATATTTTACTTTCTTATAGGTTTGAACCAATTAACCATTTAGCTTACAACTGAGACATACACATAAATAGATAAATAGTTTTACAATTATTTTGTGACTGATGATAGATCAATTGGAAAAAATAACTTTTATTATTTCGTACCTAATTTCATTATAACACAAATTCAAGTGTCCCTCCATATTGTTGAATGATTTTTTGAAATAGAGGTAACTAACTAACTCACAAACTAACTACCTAACTTCCTAATTGAAAGTGATCAATGTTTGTAATATGCATTTCGTTCATATAACAATTTGGCACTTTTCGACAACAACAACATCCGCGTACAACAATAGTTCTTGGGATTATTTCGAATAAAATAATATTCGTTTTTTTCATCCATTTCTAATTCATCAAAAAACGATAGAAATCGATTGAAAATACTCATCATGCAAGACAATCCTTGTATAGATAATGATAATTTTCATGATTGTAATGGGGATTTATCGAAATCCAACGAACGAAATCAACCAACACATTTAAACAAATGTAAAAATAATAATACAATAGATTTAAATGATCTAACATATGACAATGATGAACTAGATCAGATGAAACGATCACATTCATGTAAATATAATTCTTTCAACGAGTCACGTTCATCACCATTGAAAAGATCTTTACCATTTGAAAAATCGCGCCATTATGTTTGGCGACCAGTGTCAACATTTGTAACAAATTTACAATCAAAATTAATGAATCATTCAAATTGTTTAAAACCGGAACAAACAAATCAACTGATTGAAAATAAACCAACTATTAGTCATCTTGGTCGATTTGATGTTGGTTGTCCATCGGGATGTAATTCTTCTATAGCTGATGTTTCTGTGAATGAAGATTATGATTTGTACACAGATATGATACATACATCCGAATTGTCAAATCATGAATCAACTGTAGTTCACCAACAACACCAACAACAACAATCAAATGAATATAGACATTGTACAAAATCACCTCAATTTATGGAAAATGATTATTTATCGAAAACCTGTACAGGTAATTCAAAAGCTTCAATCATAGTCAGATTAAATGTCAGTGGGACAATATTTCATGTAAGACATAGTACATTAAAACGTGATCCTTTTGTCTATGGGAAAATGTTAGAAGATGCTGTATGGATTGCACAAACACGTGAATATTATTTTGAAAGAGATCCTGAAGTATTTCGTTTTATATTAAGTTATTTAAGACGTGGTGAATTACACCTACCGCATGGTATGTGTGGTCCATTAGTTGAAAAAGAACTTGATGATTGGGGCATAGCGCTTGGTTTAGATATTCAACGATGTTGTTTAGGACCAGTAATGGAAAGTAAATCAAAGCTAGAATCTTTACATAGATTTGAAGAGAAATTAGAACCGGAAGCTGTACGACCAGATTATTGGATTCAGTAAGTAAATAAAGTATTTTTTTTTTAAAAAAAAAATTAATTTAGTTACATTTTAAGCGTATTAATTGTTGATTTTTAGATGAAATATGTCGATATAATTCACGTCATTATTGTTACTAATGCGATTGTTTCACGACCGCTGTTATAATTATTGTTATTACTGATATATTTTATCGATCCCACTATTCTATCGACCGCAACTACAGTCAGTCAGTCAGTCACTCAGCGACAGCACAGAACTTCGTACGTACGTACATACATAAATTCAAGTCGCCGTACTAAATTAGCACACAGAGATGTAATTGTCACGCCAAGCCCCATAGTTAGTAGTAATTCAGAAGATTAGAATTCGAGAGAACACAATCAAATTGATGCACCTGCGCCATCGCAAACGATTTCGATCCGCGTCATTCAAAGTCTCTAACTATGGGTTACTATTATCTCATAGACCCCAACCTATTGGTCAGCATGGCTTACATTGTCTCAACACACTATAAACATCTAAACGCGTTTCAAGTGTTTCTCCTTTTCTACTGTTCTATCAATTAAACTTACTTGAATATGGATGGAAACTAGCTATGATAATTTTTAGACTGATCGGTTAAATAACTCAATAAATACACACACTAAATCACATTTATACAAATCAGTGGGTAAATCCACTAGATAAAAAGTATTTTCAATGAAATGAATTCATCTCACCTTCATAATAGTTCTTGGTATTACTTAGTGAAAGTTTTTTCATCAAAATAAGATTATAGAAATTTGAGATTGAAGACAGCATTGTGATGTAGGTATATTCAGTTGACAAGTGAGAAATAGAGTAAAACACACTCCGTAGATTCCGTTGGTAGTCATGAACTAGCTTTTACTAAAAAAATAACTTAAGGTAGATGGAAGAAAGTGGATATACTCTTCTCAGGATGTCTGTTAACTAAAAGACACTAGTCTGTTGCTGTCCTCACCAACAATAACGGGACGATTCCAATATTTACAAATAAGCAATAAAGTTGTCATTAAAATGTTTAATATCTTCCCCACTGACCTTAAAATCTTTCAAAATTTTATTTCATGATATTTTCCTATTTCTGTGCTGTTTCAAATTACATCAGCAGTTTAAAATGAATTGTATTTTGATGAGTTTTCATTCTGATAATAAGTAATTTGTTGTGATTGGCTTCCTGTTGAACATTAGCGTTATGGTTAGCGCTTTTTTCAGTGAGGTTCTTTTTTACAACATAGAGTTGCCCATAACACATTCAGTCTTTGAACAGGTACTAACCGTAGAAGCATATCAGGTGAAATTATTGGATATTGACTTGAAGAAAGTCAGTGTGTATTCACTTTGATTTAGTTTAATGAAAATTTTTACTAGTTTGATTAATTAGTGGCTGTTTTCATTGACAAACTTTTCAACATGCGAATTGAGTACTTTGTCTTTGATTATCGAAAACTTTTAGTGTAAATAAAAATCACTAAAACTTAATAAATATTATTTTTAGACTGCATAAAAAATGCACACTTTCCATTTTGTAGACATTTTAATATTGAGTGTCATGTTGATAGATGTTGTGCGTGTACATGTCAGAGTAATACGATTTCGTTTGTTATTGTATCGGTTTTCTTCAGCGACATACAACACACAAATCATAGGGTGAACTATTTTAAA